AGCAGTGAGCTGAGATCACGCCATTGTACTCCAGCCTGGGAGACAGAACGAGACTGTCTCAAAAACAGAACAAAACAAAGCAGCTATGGATGATCCTGAGACTTGGGTGTGGCTGTGCCAATAAAACTTTATTCATAATAGGGGCGGACGCCAGGTGTGGTCCTGAGGGCCGCGGTTTGCTGAGACCCCAGGGCCTTTCATCCTTCAGGCTGGCCTGAGAACGCCAGGGGGCCAGTGGTGCAGTCAGGTGACGCCGCCCCAGGGCCCTTCATGTGGTACACGGGGCAGCAGCGCAGCTCAGCCTGGAGCCGAGTGGGGAAGAGAGGAGAGGACAGCACACTCCCTGGGACAGCCACAGGTTACATCCGTGGGACCCACGGCCCGGCCACAGGTTACATCCGTGGGACCCACAGCCCGGCCACAGGTTACATCCGTGGGACCCACAGCCCGGCCACAGGTTACATCCGTGGGACCCACAGCCCGGCCACAGGTTACATCCGTGGCTGCCATCGGCCCTGAATCTTGCTCTGCCACCGTGGCGGCCGAACGTGTTGGCACCTGCTGAGTGCTTGGAGGTGACACACCTGGGCTCCCGTGGAGGGGTCCAGGACCTGGCTGAGCTCACTGCCAGGCCACACAGCAGTGCCCAGTGGATGAGGTAAACTAGACAGGCTCACAAGGGGGGCAGTGGAGGCTGCAGGCGCCGGTACCATCGAGCCAGAGTCCCCTCAAACCTGCCTCAGATGGGCCGGGCCCTGGCCTGGGTGGCCGCCAGCCTTCCGGGTGTAAGAAAAGCCAGAAACGAAGACGGCTGGGTGAGGTCTATTGAGGATCAAACGCCGCACGTAGACCCTTGGGCTGAAGGAGCACCCGGGAAAGGTGTCCACCTGCCAAGGTACGGCCAGGGCCTGCCTCAGAGGCGGCGGGCCACGCACCCCACAGGCCCCATGGGGTGTCACGGGTCAGCCCTGGTGCCCTTCTGCACCCCACACCCACCTGGCAGGGGCAACCCAGGCTCTGACCAACGCAGCCCCATGTTCTGTCCGAACTTGGTGGGAAACCTCATCCTCACAGCTCCTCAGCCCTGTATCAGCCCCTGCACGGCTTTTTGGGTGCCCAGAAGCAAGGCCAGGAGCTGAACACTGGCAGGTTCCTGGAAGGCGGCACACCCTGGGAGGGCAGGGAAGCGCCACGCTTTCCTCCACGACACGAAATAAAACGATGCTGGGACTTCTTCACACCACGACGTGACGTCTGCCCTGTGTGCCCAGGGCCATGGCTCCCCCCGCGAGGGTCTGCCTGGATGGAGCCGGAGCCACCAGAGCGCCGATCGGGGGCATCTGTGGCCCTGGGGCGAAGCTTCGCTGGACGCCTGCTCAGGCCCCGCAGGTCTGCTCTGCAGAGGCAGCTCCCGTCCCACTAGATGCGCCTGGTCGCAGGGAGGAACTCGGGGGCCTTTCTGGCCGCCCGTCCCGCAGGCTGGGGGACGCTACCCAGGCCTATTTGACCCAAGTCACGGGAGCATACAGACCGCGGGACCCGGCTGCTCCCCGTGCCTCCCAGGACAGGCCTCCTAGATCCACGCCCGGCGAAGCCAGGGTCCCAGTGGGGCTGGCCGTGTGCAGTCACTGACGGACCTGGAGGCTGCCTCTCCCTCCCAAGCAGAGCTTCTCTGGCCTCTCATAAAGTAGTTTTATTTAGATTTCAAACAAACCAAAGCAGAGAGAAGAGTCGGCCACGGTGAATCCGTCCACTGGTGCTGGGACGTGGCTCCAGGCCCTGGAGCTGACAGGCGGGCCCGGGCCCCTCGGACCCACACCTGGGTCTCCCAGGCTGGCAGTGGCAGGAACGGCCCCCGCCCACGTTCCCAGCAGCCCCCGTGGCTCCTCCGGGGTACGGCCAGTCCGGAAGCTAGGGGGCCCCAGCAGACGTCGGGGCTCAGCTCCCCTCCCGAGGAGAGGTGCGCGGGGCTCTCCCACCCTGGCCGTCCACTGAGCCCCGAGTGACGCGAGCGGCGGTGGGGCAGCCCCTCTTCTCTGAAGCACATGAAAACCCAGAACAAATACGGGAAAGGAGAAAAGAGCCCAGAACGAAACCACCAGAGGAGACGGGGACCAGCACAAAACCTCCGTGAGGTAGTCTGTCGTCGAAGGAGCCACGGGTCCGGCCCTAGTGAGGTAAACTCTGCGCGTTTATTCTGCGGGGTCAGGACTCCTCCGTGCCCGAGTCGTCCTCGTCGTCCCCGAAGCAGCTGTCGGCCTCCTCGCCCCCCTCGCCGTCCTCGTAGTAGTCGTCGTAGAAGAGGTCCGAGCCCTCGTCGGGCGCGGGTGCCTTGGTCTTCACGCAGTACTCGGCCAGTGTGGTGGGCACCTTCACGCCGTCACGCTCCGCGTCCACCTTGGTCCCCAGGACCTGCTTCCTGGGGGGACAGGGCGGGTGAGGGCACCACCTCCGTGCCTGGACCCGGCCCCTGCCCTGCCCCCTCCCCTCCCCTCCCCTCCCCCGGGTCCGACGCTCATCCCAGCCCTCAGGTTTCTCTTAAAACGGCTGCGGTTGGCTGGGCGCGGTGGCTCAAGCCTGTAATCCCAGCACTTTGGGAGGCTGAGACGGGCGGATCACGAGGTCAGGAGATCGAGACCATCCTGGCTAACACGGTGAAACCCCATCTCTACTAAAAAAATACAAAAAACTAGCCAGGCAAGGTGGCGGCGCCTGTAGTCCCAGCTACTCGGGAGGCTGAGGCAGGAGAATGGCGGGAACCCAGGAGGCGGAGCCTGCAGTGAGCTGAGATCCGGCCACTGCACTCCAGCCTGGGCAACAGAGCGAGACTCTGTCTCAAAAAAAAAAATAAAAAATAAAAAAGGGCTGCAGTGACCCCTTAGGAAACAGCCCCGTGCATGAGGAGGCCCAGAGGGGAGAAACGACACCGGAGGGGCTAGGGAAGGGCAGGAGGTGCAGGGGGGAGACCGAATGGCGCAGCACAGTCACACCCACCCGCCCCACCCCGAAGCACACCCCACAGGACCCATCAGAGCTAGGAGAAAATAACAATGCCGGGCAACAGGGAGTGCCCAGGCAGCCCCACTTGGGGGCAAAAGGCTTTCCGGAGCGCAGGAGCAAAGGAAGCAGCTGGGAGGGCCACGGACAGAAGGCAGGACCATCCCTAGAGCCAGGAACCAGCACAGGTGAGACGGGAAAGGCAGAAACAGCCCGAGCCTCTCCGTGGCCTTGCCAGGATTCTACACCAAGGGGGGCCTGGCCATCCCGGCCCCTGGCAGGAAGGGAGGCTCCGTTAGCTCAGACTTTCTGGAGGGCACCGCGTACCCCAGGCCCTACGAGGGCCTGCCCCCAGCTCCGCCTCCAGGACACCCGTCAAGAACGTCCCCCCAGGACTGGCAGCAAAGGGGCATCCGGGGCGTCCGGGGCTGGCACGGCGGGGCCGGGCTACACGCTGACCCCATCTGACAGAAAACAGGAACAAGGCCGCAGCCTCAGGACTCCAACCCGGCCCTCGAGCCCCTATCGCCGATCAGGCACGGCTCTGGGCCTGGCTGCACCGATCGGGCACGGCTCTGGGCCCGGCTGCTACCGGGGTGTGCAGGTCCGGAGCAGACAGACACCCCCAAGCCCGGCCCACAAGCCCAGTGCTTCCTATGGGGATGCACAAGGCACGGAGGGCAGATGTCTGGCCTCTGGGACGTCCCCGGGCGGTGGGACCTGGCAGATTCCATGCTTTGCTTCCCGGGCTCTCTGACGGGCTGGGCGGGTGACGGGTGCCCCGAGGACGGCACTGCACGGGTGGCAGCCGTGGGGAGATGCACGGGAGGGCCAGGGTGTGACCTGACCTGTGCCGTGGAGGTGCAGCCGGTACACCGCCAGCACGAACCATGAGAGGGGAGCATCTGGCGGTGCTATTCACCAAGGACCATCCCTGACCCGGCCGGGCTCCACGGCAGCCCGCCTGGTACAGCTCAGTGGGACTCGGGCTGCCACAAGGCCCACACACACACAGATTTAAAGCAGGCACAAAGCAGCGAGCACGGCGGTCCACACGGGCACGTGAGTTGGCCCGCAGGGAGTTTTGAGGGATAAAAATAGTGTGACTTTTATTTCTGTGCTGGGATCTCGGGGAGGCGCCTCAGGGAGGTGGCCGGGAAGAACTGGGCCAAGGAGCCAGCCACATGGGCCAGGTGAGACGGCCAGGCCAGGGCCGCTGAGGACATCTGCACAGAGGGATGGCCAGGGCCAGCTCCCCCGTGACCTCCAGGGGCCAGCAGGTGCTTGCAGGACACGTCCCAGGAGGCCGCACGGGACCCGCCCACCATGGCTGCTCAGAGCCGGGACCCCCCAGCACCAGGACGCTGCCCCAGGACGACCCCATGACACCAGCTGCCAGCAAGTGCAGGACGGAAGGTGCCCGGGACGCTCGTGGGTCCTGGGGTGAGGAAGACACGTGGATTACGTGTGCAATATTTTAAAGGTCGTTTTTAAGATTCTGCTTATACAAAATAAAAACAAAAATAGGTGAGGCCTCTGTGAGGAAATCTGTGCAATTTCACTCTGAGAAATACAAGCAAACAGGAAGGGCCTCTACGTAACAGCAGGAGCAAGAACCGTTAAGTGTCAACCCGTCAAGAAAGCCTCGCCTGTGTATGCAGACACGCCCGTGTTTCACGTTCACGTGAGCACAGGCACCCCAGAGAAGAGGCTGTGGGGGTCAGCTCTGGGGCACGAGCGCGACGGGAGGAGAGGGAGAGCCATGGGTCACCACACACAGCCACGCAGGCAAAGTGGACGGCAGGTACAGAAGGCGCCGGAAGGCAGCTGCACAGCCGTCCCCAGAGCTCGCCAGGCCAAGAGCCTGCAGGGACGCATGCCCGACACAAGTAAGGCCAAGACCCCTGACTGACAGTCACTGGGCACACACAGCACAACCCCATTTCCTCATTAAAACATGGACATATGTTAAACCGAAGAGTCTGGAAGAATCTATGAAAATATTAACCACTAGGCCAGGGGCAGGGGCTCACGCCTGTCATCCCAGCATCTTGGGAGGCTGAGGCGGGGACATCACCTGAGGTCAGGAGTTTGAGACCAGCCTGGCTAAGATGGTGGAATCCCACCTCTACTAAAAGTTACAAAAATTGGC